GGTGGAGAGGGAGGTGGGAGGGGGGATCGGGATGGGGAATACATGTAAATCCATGGCTGATTCTTGTCAATGTATGACAAAAGCCACTACAATATTGTGGGGTAATTGGCCTCCAACTAATAAAAAAAAAAAAAGATTCACTTGCCTGAGGCTCAGTCCAGGTGTCACTTTGTATGGCGTTGTTGTGATGACTCCACCCTCCTCCGAGGGCAGGTGTCGAGGAGGAGGGATGGGCAAGGCGCGGCAGTCACCATGTCTCCCTGCTGGGCTGGGTGGCCTTCAGCCTGTGTGGTGTGTGACCTCACCCCCGTCCAGGGCGTCCTGGGTCCCCAGTGCCCACCCTGCCTGCTCCCACTCTGGTTTTGTTTGGACGGCTGTAGCTAACAGCGGCATCACAGGCCCTGCTCCCTGCTCCTTCCCTGGTGTGCAGGCTTCCCCTCACCCTCTGGACAGCTCAAGTACTTCATTAGTGTTAATTCCAGAGTCTAGGTTAGACATGTCTTTGTTCAAATGATAGTCAGATCTGGAATAATACTGTCACAATAAGAGGAGTAAATGGAGTTTACAGGAGTGAATAACAGGAGTTATTCAAGATTAACATGACGTTCAGTGTCATCTTGTCAGGAAATTTATATTCCTAAGCAAAGCAATGTAGGCAGTGTTTTCCTTTTTTCACTCTTTTCTCATTATTGCCCCCTTAAGGAGTCTTTTTAGATATATTTTTTCCTAACTATTCCTCCATGACATTTTAATGCTGTGGATATCCTATATATTTATTTATGTACCATACATATATCTGTGCTTTATTTGTAATATGATTTTTCCCCCAAGGGACCATTATTGGTCTGTTAAGGGGACTGTCTTCTCCATGGAGAGCACAGATCTAGAAGGTTAAGAGTGTTCTCCCAGGTCCTATATCAGAGAGCTGACTGGGCTTATAGTCAGCTTTCCCCAGGCAGGCAGATTCTCAACCACCAAACTGCCAGGGAAGTCCTAAATTTCTTTTTTTTCCCCCAGTNCCTTCTCCAATGCATGAAAGTGAAAAGTGAAAATGAAGTCTCTCAGTTGTGTCTGACTCTGTGATCCCATGGACTGTAGCCTACCAGTCTCCTCTGTCCATGGGATTTTCCAGGCAAGAGTACTGGAGTGGGTTGCCATTTCCTTCTCCAGGGGATCTTCCCCACCCAGGGATAGAACCCAGGTCTCCAGCATTGCAGACAGACGCTTTACCGTCTGAGCCACCAGGAAGCCCACTAGCCTACTAATGAAACAAATACACTAGTAAATGCAGTATTGAGTTTGAACACAAGCTTATAGGCAGTTAGAAACATTCCACATATTTACAAGGAAGGGCAACCATGGTATGGATTCCTCAGAGTATGTAGAATTATCTAGGTTTTACCCATCTGACAAGTTTCTCACTTTATTATGGCAAAAGTCTTCTAAACCACTGTATAACTTAGGACATTTATGTTGATCTACCTTGCACAGATCCTCAACTAATGAAACAAAATAAAGTTCATATAGTTTTAAAGGCAAGTCAAATAATATTTTTCATTGTGGAAAATATTGTATTCTATGAATAAGTGTATAAACACTGCAAAATAATACTGTAAACCACAAACTATTATATTACTAGTCTTTTGAAAAATATTTCTGTAAATACATCATGAAAGAATTTTAAGTTCTAGACACTTAAAGCATTTTCTTTAAAATGTTCTGCATATGCTTTCTATATGATCAAGCCTTTAAGTAAAACATCTGACTTTCAGAAATTCAAAAGGATTTCCATATATAAGTAAACACCTTTTATTTTTAGGATGATAAAACTTTTTTTCTGTTATAAATTGATTGCCCTTTATGAGGTTTTGTTATGTGAAATGCTCATTTCAACACGTGATATTAAAAATAGCCAAAAATATGATGAGTTTATTTTTATTTTTTTATTTTTATTTTCTCTTAATATATATATTTATTGAAATATAGTTGATTTACAGTGTTTCATGTGCACAGCAAGGTGATTCAGTTATACATATACACATATATTATTTTTGAAATTATTTTCCATTATAGGCTATTATAATATATTGACTATAGTTCCCTGTGCTATAGAGTAAACCTTTGTTGCTTGTTGCATATCTATTTTTTTTAGTTAGAAATCTAGCATTCTTTTCATACTAAGCCAAACAAGTGCAATCAAAATGTTATACATTTTTTAGTTAGGCAAAAATTTGAAGTTTTCTAAAATATGTATATTATACACATTATTTATATATGTGTATACAAAAGCTTTTCTACTATACTTGATAAAGGTCTGAAAAGAACACACAAAAAGAAGAAGAGATGGAGAAATTGGAAAACATAAACTAAATGAAATGGGTGCACTAAATATAAAATAGAAAAAGTAAAACAAACTGGATAAAAGTAAAATATCATTGTATAGCTGAGTTGTTTTTAAACATGACTGCTCACTGGAAACATATCTGGAGCTCTGGAAGAAGAAAAACCAATACTGACTGTTTGTATTTTTTGAAAATTTCAAGATAATTAGGATATGCATCTGGATTTTAAAAAGTGATTACAGGTTTTTCTATTAAATGATAGTTTTGGTGATATAGAGTTCTATTATTTTTCTGTTGACCAGTTATGATACAGTGGTGTTAAGTGAGATAGTTACTTGATCACAATAGTGAAAGATGTTTATCAGTTATCACAATCAATAGCCAGACAAAAATTTTTTATTTTATCTTAATTTTTTCTTAATATATATATTTATTGGAATTATTAACTTAACAATATAAACATGATTAACTTAACAATATAAAATAATTACATACAGTTTGGGAGATCAAACAGAGTGATGTGATAAGTGCATGCATGTACATAAAAGTTTTCATCCGCCCAGCAAGTCTATGTCTTTTCATTGGTACATTTAATCCATTTACATTTAATATAATTATCAATATGTATGATCTTATTAGTGTTTTCTTAATTGTTTTGGGTTTATTTTGTGTAGGTCTTTTCCATGTCTGTGTTTCCTGCCTAGAGAAGTTCCTTTAGCATTTGCTATAAGTTCAGTTCACTTGCTCAGTCGTGTCCGACTCTTTGCGACCCCATGAATCCTCAGCACGCCAGGCCTCCCTGTCCATCACCAACTCCCAGAGTTTACTCAAACTCATGTCCATCAAGTCGGTGATGCCATCCAGCCATCTCATCTTTTGTCATCCCCTTCTCCTCCTGCCCCCAACCCCTCCCAGCATCAGGGTCTTTTCCAATCAGTCAACTCTTCGCATGAGGTGGCCAAAGTACTGGAGTTTCAGCTTCAGCATCAGTACTTCNTTTTTTTTTTTTTTCTGCTCCTATTTCCAACTTAGATGACGCCAGAGGAAGGCATCAAATGAAGATCCGCAGTGAGACCCAGAATTACCTCAACTTGTATGCAGTGGAGGGCCTGCGCACCTTGTGCATTGCCAAGAGGGTGAGTAGGCAGCTCCACGGAGGGGCAGAGCCAGCAGCGGGGTGCGGCCCATGTGCTCATCAGCGGGTCTCACCCAGGTTTTGAGTAAGGAAGAGTATGCCTGTTGGCTGCAGAGCCACTTGGAAGCAGAATCCGCCCTGGACAACCGGGAGGAGCTCCTCTTTCAGTCTGCCATTCGCCTGGAGACGAATCTGCATTTGTTGGGTAATTATGTTCTCTAGCCGGCTGGGTCCTGTAGGGCAGGGTGGAGTTTGCAGCATCCTGGGCAGAGAGATACCCTGGCTGTAGTCCACAGCAGCTCTGCACACACTCATCTTCATTAAGTACCCCGCTGGTCTGACACTGGGCTTCCCTTGTGGCCCAGCAATAAAGAATCCACCTGCAATGCAGGAGACACAGGTTGGATCGTGGGTCTAGAAGATCCCCTGGAGAAGGAAGTGACAACCCACTCCAGTATTCTTGCCTGGGAAATCCCATGGACAGAGGAGCCTGGCGGGCTATAGTCCAGAGGGTTGCAACAATGTCAGATACGACTTAGTGACTAAACAACACAACATCCAGTCTGACACTAGCACACCCCCGGGCAGGGCTGTGCGCCATTGAACATTCTCCTCTCTAGTCAGTCTTTGGGTCATTCGCTGTGCCACCCTGCTGGGAACCGTGTCAGACTTTCCTCCCCTAAAACCCTGCTTTCCCACCAAAAATAGAGATCAGAAGCAAGGTTTCTCAACAACTGATGCTTAAAATGGTCCCTCCATCCCAGGAACAATCAGAAACTGTTGAACTCAGACAGGGCTGCCTTTAATGCATAAAAGTCAACTCTCTCATATCCTTTAATATAAAGGCACTAATCCCATTCACAAGGGCTCACTCTCATGACCTAATTGCCTCCCAAAGGCCCCATCTGCTAAAGCCATTACCCTGGGGATTAGGGCATCAACCTATGGACTTTTAGGAGGGACACAAACATTTTAGTCCATAGCAGCATCCCAGCACAGGGAACAGCATGTATAAAAGAGAAAGGCAAGGCTAACAAGGNGCCATTACCCTGGGGATTAGGGCATCAACCTATGGACTTTTAGGAGGGACACAAACATTTTAGTCCATAGCAGCATCCCAGCACAGGGAACAGCATGTATAAAAGAGAAAGGCATGGCTAACAAGGAGGCCTCGGGTAATGCTGCACTTCTTAAAAGAAAGAAAGAGACCATCTCACCAAGCTGGAAACAGGAAAAAACAGGCTGGTCTAGAGAACACTTTTCTGCATTAAGTGGTATATTTTCCCTAACATACTGAGACTTGCATGGGAAAAATCTGCTCCTTAATTTTTATGTTTGTAGAAAAAGCATATTCAGGATAATATTGCTTTCAAGAAATAATGGGCCTCTGTGATCTGTTTCAACAGCTAATGGTAAACACTGTTGAGAGCCATCACTGTGGTCTCATTTACCAGAAGCTTTCTGCAGGATGGATAAGCTTGAAAACTTTTCATCCCTCGGCATATGGTCATTCTCACCATCTCCCCACAAGCGTTATTTCCAAGCTATCTATAAAGTTAAAAGTTCACTGCATGTTAGGAAGCCTTGGAGGTGTTCAGTTCAGTGTCCAGAGAATTAATGTTTAGTGCTCCCAGCTGTCCCTATTGTATAGAGTCGAGAGCTGGTGAAGGTACCCCCATATCCTGAATGAGGAATCACCCTAGTGCTTCCAGAAAAGATGGACCTCAGCAGGGTCCAGTCTGCAGGGCGGGGCCAGCAACTCTGCTGAGCTGGAGTGTAGTATTCATGCTGGTCAGGGCAGGGGCCCAGAAGCAGGGCCTCACCTACACTGGTACCTTTGAGCAGGTGCCACAGGGATTGAAGACCGCCTGCAGGATGGAGTCCCCGAAACCATTGCTAAACTGCGTCAAGCAGGTCTGCAGATTTGGGTTCTCACCGGCGACAAACAGGAAACGGCCATTAACATTGCTCATGCCTGCAAACTTCTGGACCATGATGAGGAAGTCATCACCCTGAATGCTGAATCCCAGGTGGGTGGATGTTAGGGAGCCTGCTTTGCCCAGGCAACTCCACACCCCGCCAGCCCCAGAGAGGAGCAGGAAGGAATGCCTTCCATTTCTGGCACTTGCTGTGAGGTGGGCCTTTGTTCTTTGCCTCTGTTTGTACCTGTGTTGTTTCTTATTGTCTTGGAAAATGTGGGATTTGCTGGGACTTCACAGGAACATGTCTGAGCTTGATAATTCAGAGTTCAACCAGCTTTTTCCTGAGCTGTATCCAGCCAGCAGTATCAGAGAGTATCTCATGAGTTCTCATGGAGCAAGGGTAGCTGTCCATTCGTCATTAGCATTCCCAAGACAGCGCGTATTATCTCACTGATGCCCCAGCAGCACTTGGGTTTTCATTCCTCACCTCTGTTCACTGAAATTCCCCCATGTATAGTGTGGGTCTCTTCCCACAGGCCTAGTGACTCTTCCAGCCTTTATGGTCCCTGTAGGTGTCACACTTAAGATGTGCCTTATCACAGAGTTTTCACCTTTGTCTTCTCCTAAAAGGTTTATAGTGTTAGCATCTCAGCTTTAGACACAATCTGTTTTGTGTAGAATTTTGTGTAATGTATGAGGTTTACATCAAACTGTATTTTTCTGCATGTAGCTGGCCAGTTATTCAGGAACTGTTTGTGGACAGTTTGTCTTTTCTCCACTAAATTGACTTTACACCTTTGTTGAAAATCAGTTGCTCCTATTTGTTGTGTGTCTATTTTTAGATTTCTATTATGTTCCATAGGTGTATCTATCCCTTCTTCAATACCATGCTGTCTTGTGAGTTTTTAAATAAGTCTTAAAATAGGCAGTATTTTGTTTAATCTTTAATCCAATTTTCTGTTGATGGTGGGGCTGACCTGTTGTCTGACCTGAGGCCAAACTATGGTGGAGGTAATGAAGATAATGGCGACCTCCTTCAGAAGGTCCCATGCATGCACTGCTGCTCTCAGTGCCCCCATCAACAGAACTGGATTAAAGATTTACTGAGCATGGCCCTGCCTATCACAACAAGACCCAGTTTCCCCCTCAGTCAGTCTCTGCAATCAGAAACCTTCCATAAGCCTCTTATCCTTCTCCATCAGAGGGCAGATAGAAAGCCAAAATCACAGAAAACTAACTAATCTGATTAACCAATCTATTAAAAATAACCAAGCCTTGTCTAACTCAATGAAACTATGAGAACACTGTGTAGGGCACCCAAGATGGACAGGTCATGGTGGAGCATTCTGACAAAATGTGGTCCACTGGAGAAGGAAATGGCAAACCACTTCAGTATTCTTGCCTTGAGAGCGCCATGAGCAGTCTGAAAAGGCAAAAGGATAGGACACTGAAGGATGAACTCCCCAAGTCTGTAGATGCTCAATATACTCCTGGAGATCAGTGGAGAAGCAACTCCAGAAAGAATGAAGAGACAGAGCTAAAGCAAAAACAACACCCAATTGTGGATGACTCATGATGGAAGTAAAGTCCAGTGCTATAAAGAGCACTACTGCACAGGAATCTGGAATGTTAGGTCCATGAAATTGGAAGTGGTCAAACATGAGATGGCAAGAGTGAACACTGACATTTTAGGAGTTAGTGAACTAAAATGGACTGNCTTAAACTGAAGAAAGTAGGGAAAACCACTAGACCATTCAGGAATGACCTAAATCGAATCCCTTACAATTATACAGTGGAAGTGAGAAATAGTTTCAAGGGATTAGATCTGATGGACAGAGTGCCTAAAGAACTATGGAAAGAGGTTCATGACATTGTACAGGAGACAGGGATCAAGACCATCCCCATGGAAAAGAAACGCAAAAAGGCAAAATGGTTGTCCGAGGAGACCTTACAAATAGCTGAGAAAAGAAGAGAAGCTAAAGAAAGACAAGGGAGAGAAGGAAAGATATGCCCATCTTAAGGCAGAGTTCCAAAGAATAGCAAGGAGAGATAAGAAAGCCTTCTTCAGTGATCAATGCAACGAAATAGAGGAAAACAACAGACTGGGAAAGACTAGAGATCTCTTCAAGAAAATCAGAGATAGCTGTCAGGAAGCATTTAACAAGAGGCTTCCTGTGTGCTGTTTTGGATCTGTCAGGAACCCTCTGGCCCTTACTGATTCCTGAATATTCAGGAATTAAGAGGAGAGGCACGCCTTTCCCTGGGGCTGAGGAATCCAGGCATTTCTCATTACGGTGATAAGTGCCCTCTTCCTTTTTATGAGCCAAATGGTAAGAGGTGATTGTCTGCAACTCTCCCTTTGATAGGGATCGTCTTCTGTTTTGTAAGTCAGGAATTTTAATCTTTATCTTTGCAGAGAATAACCACCTTGTGAGACAGTATAGATGCCCACGCCGTGTTGATTAAACACCTTTGCTCCATCAGAGCTTTGGTCCCTGTGCCTTGCTTTTCTTTTCTTTTCTTTTTTCTTTTCTTTTCCCTTCCTCCCTCCCTCCCTCCCTCCCTCTTTTCTTTCTTTCTTTCTTTCTTTCTTTCTTTCTTTCTTTCTTTCTTTCTTTCTTTCTTTCTTTCTTTCTTTTTCTTTCTTTCTTTCTTTCTTTCTTTCTCTCTTTCTCTCTTTCTTTCTCTCTCTCTCTGTCTATTTCTGGCTAATTACTTGGAGCGCAGAGGCCCGCTGAGCTCACTTTCTTGCCCGGGCTTCTAAGACCCTCTCGAGAAGGCACACTGTGCCTTCACCCACTCGAGAGGGCTCCTGGTGCAGCAGCGCGAGCCCTAACAACAGGACTCTATTGGCTTTCCGCGTAAACCAGGGAATATCAGCCTCTTTCTCTCTCTTACTCTTGGAACCACCAGGTTCCGGTCCATTAAAGGATCAACAAGCGCTATCAGCCTCTTTCTCTGTCTTACTTTCTTATCGTCGACTCCGGACCACCAGGTTCTGGTCCATTAAAGGACCAACAGATACCAAGGGAACATTTTACGCAAAGATGGGCTCAATAAAGGACAGAAATGGTACAAATCTAACAGAAGCAGAAGATATTAGGAAGAGGTAGCAAGAATACACGGAAGAACTATACAAAAAAGATATTCATGACCGAGATAGCCACGATGGTGTGATCACTCACCTCGATCCAGACATCCTAGAATGCAAAGATGGGCCTTAGGAAACATCATTACAAACAAAGCTAGTGGAGGTGATGGAATTCCAGTTGAGCTATTTCAAATCCTAAAAGATTTTGCTGTGAAAGTGCTGCACTCAACATGCCAGAAAATCTGGAAAACTCAGCGGTGGCCACAGGGCTGGAAAAGGTCTGTTTTCCTTCCAATCCCAAAGAAAGGCAAGGCTAAAGAGTGCTCAAACTACCACACAATTGCACTCATCTCACATGATACCAAAGTAATACTCAAAATTGTCCAAGTCAGGCTTCAACAGTATGTGAACCAAAAGACTAGAGATCTCTTCAAGAAAATCAGAGATAGCTGTCAGGAAGCATTTAACAAGAGGCTTCCTGTGTGCTGTTCTGGATCTGTCAGGAACCCTCTGGCCCTTATTGATTCCTGAATATTCAGGAATTAAGAGGAGAGGCACGCCTTTCCTGGGGCTGAGGAATCCAAGCATTTCTCATTACAGTGATAAGTACCCTCTTCCTTTTTATGAGCCAAATGGTAAGAGGTGATTGTTTGCAACTCTCTCTTTAATAGGGATCGTCTTATGTTTTGTAAGTCTGGAATTTTAATCTTTGTCTTTGCTGAGAATAACCACCTTGTAAGACAGTATATATGCCCAGGCCATGTTGATTGAAACACCTTTGCTCCATCAGAGCTTTGGTCCCCATGCCTTGCTTTTCTTTTCTTTCTTTCTTTCCTTTCTTTCTTTCTTTCCTTCCTTTCTTTCCTTTCTTCCCTTCTTACCTCCCTCACTCCCTCCCTCCCTCCTTTCTTTCTTTCTTTCTCTCTTTCTCTCTCTCTCTATTTCTGGCTAATTCTTTGGAGCGCGGAGGCCCGCTGAGCTGTGCCTTCACTCACTCGAGAGGGTGCCTGGTGCCTACGTGCAGTAGCGCGAGCCCTAAGAACAGGGCTCTATTGGCTTTCCGCGTAAACCAGGGGATATCAGCCTCTTTCTCTCTCTTACTCTCGGAACCACCAGGTTCTGGTCCATTAAAGGACCAACAGATACCAAGGGAACATTTTATGCAAAGATGGGCTCAATAAAGGACAGAAATGGTACAAATCTAACAGAAGCAGAAGATATTAGGAAGAGGTACCAAGAATACACGGAAGAACTATACAAAAAAGATATTCATGACCCAGATAACCACGATGGTGTGATCACTCACCTCGAGCCAGACATCCTAGAATGCAAAGATAGGCCTTAGGAAACATCATTACAAACAAAGCTAGTGGAGGTGATGGAGTTCCAGTTGAGCTATTTCAAATCCTAAAAGATTTTGCTGTGAAAGTGCTGCACTCAATATGCCAGCAAATCTGGAAAACTCAGCAGTGGCCACAGGGCTGGAAAAGGTCTGTTTTCCTTCCAATCCCAAAGAAAGGCAATGCCAAAGAATGCTCAAACTACCGCACAATTGCACTCATCTCACATGATAGCAAAGTAATACTCAAAATTCTCCAAGCCAGGCTTCAACAGTATGTGAACCAAGAACTTCCATATGTTCAAGTTGGATTTATAAAAGAGGAACCAGAGATCAAATTGCCAACATCCATTGGATCATTGAAAAAGCAAGAGAATTCCAGAAAGATGTCTACTTCTGCTTTAATGACTATGCCAAAGCATTTGACTGTGTGGAACACAGCAAACTGTGGAAAATTCTGAAAGAGATGGGAATACCAGACCACCTGACCTGCCTCCTGAGAAATCTGTGTGCAGGTCAAGAAGAAACATTTAGAACTAGAACTGGTCCCAACCCAAATCGGAAAAGGAGTACATCAAGGTTGTATATTGTTACCCTGCTTATTTAACTTATATGCAGAGTACATCATGAGAATTGCTAGGCTGGATTAAGCACAAGCTGGAATCAAGATTTCTGGGA